ATATTATATAGATACATAAAGCATATTTTAGAAATATTTCCACCTATAATTCACAACATTTGTAATAAAAATTCTGCATAATAAATAGAGTTATTTTCACAGTTGAAGTGATGGGCATATTATAGAAATCTTTTCATGTAAAATTCACATCCTTTTTAAAATTTGATATTTTATACTGTCTTTTTAAACTGTATTGTACTACAAATAGTTAGAGTTATGTTCACGGTAGATAATTTCTACCAGTTAATCTTTTAACTATTATAATATTATAAACTGAGACACTATCTTTAACTATTATAATATTATAAGCTGAGACACTATCTTTAACTATTATAATATTATAAACTGAGACACTATCTTTAACTATCATAATATTATAAACTGAGACACTATCTTTAACTATTATACTATTATAAACTGAGACACTATCTTTAACTATTATAATATTATAAGCTGAGACAAGATATTATAATATTATAAACTGAGACACTATCTTTAACTATTATAATATTATAAACTGAGACACTATCTTTAACTATTATAATATTATAAACTGAGACACTATCTTTAACTATTATAATATTATAAACTGAGACACTATCTTTAACTATTATAATATTATAAACTGAGACACTATCTTTAACTATTATAATATTATAAACTGAGACACTATCATTAACTATTATAATATTATAAGCTGAGACACTATCTTTAACTATTATAATATTATAAACTGAGACACTATCTTTAACTATTATAATATTATAAACTGAGACACTATCTTTAACTATTATACTATTATAAACTGAGACACTATCTTTAACTATTATACTATTATAAGCTGAGACACTATCATTAACTATTATAATATTATAAACTGAGACACTATCTTTAACTATTATACTATTATAAGCTGAGACACTATCTTTAACTATTATAATATTATAAACTGAGACACTATCTTTAACTATTATAATATTATAAACTGAGACACTATCTTTAACTATTATAATATTATAAGCTGAGACACTATCTTTAACTATTATAATATTATAAACTGAGACACTATCTTTAACTATTATAATATTATAAGCAGAGACACTACCTTTAACTATTATAATATTATAAGCTGAGACACTATCTTTAACTATTATAATATTATAAACTGAGACACTATCTTTAACTATTATAATATTATAAACTGAGACACTATCTTTAACTATTATAATATTATAAACTGAGACACTATCTTTAACTATTATAATATTATAAACTGAGACACTATCTTTAACTATTATAATATTATAAACTGAGACACTATCTTTAACTATTATAATATTATAAACTGAGACACTATCTTTAACTATTATAATATTATAACACTATCTTTAACTATTATAATATTATAAACTGAGACACTATCTTTAACTATTATAATATTATAAACTGAGACACTATCTTTAACTATTATAATATTATAAACTGAGACACTATCTTTAACTATTATAATATTATAAACTGAGACACTATCTTTAACTATTATAATATTATAAACTGATACACTATCTTTAACTATTATAATATTATAAACTGAGACACTATCTTTAACTATTATAATATTATAATATGAGACAAGATCTTTAACTATTATAATATTATAAGCTGAGACACTATCTTTAACTATTATAATATTATAAACTGAGACACTACCTTTAACTATTATAATATTATAAACTGAGACACTATCTTTAACTATTATAATAATATAAACTGAGACACTATCTTTAACTATTATAATATTATAATATGAGACAAGATCTTTAAAAATATTATAATATTTGTGGTTTAGTTTGATCATATTTCAATCAGTCAGTGTTGTCAGCTATACTTTTAACCCAACATTTCCTTTTTTTTTTCATATTGATTCAATAGGATACAGGTTACAAGTCTTCCTCTCTGGCTACAGGAACTAGCTGTAAGAGTCTCCTCTATATTATATTTGAATATCTCAAGTATTCAGAAATCAGACAGTGATGTGAACTATGTATTTGACCCAACATTTCATTCTTGTTTAAATTGACTAAAACTGGTAGTTTGATTGAAGCCTTGACCTATTTTACTTTGGTCAACTGTCCAACTTGACTGACCAAACGACCTGATATTTATCTTAACACTCTCTGTGTACTGAGAGATTTACCTGAAATTTACCTTTCTTTTTATAATCGAGAGACAACAATCGACCATCATTGATTAATCATGATTGTCGTTATGGTGACCACCAGCCATTTCTATTGACCTCTCACGACCTCCGTTGACCCTAGGTCAATATATCTGTTGATCGTCTAAATTAGAAGTTGATATTTGCTGAAGAATTTCTGTCAATGTGCTGAAAAGTTTGCATATTGTCATATTGTCAAATAAATGGTGACATTGGGTTCTATTCGGGGTCAGCTTGTAAAAGTCTGGTCTCTTTGAACAAGGCATCATTCATCATGATTCCAGTCGACCCAGCTGTAAATGGGTACAGATAATCTGGGGAAAGATCAATGAGATTTGGCCAAGGTCCAGCTGATACTGTGAAAAGCTCCCCACCCTTTTGTGTAATGAAGAGTAAAAGCTCCCCACTGTGTAGTGTAATGAAGAGTAAAAGTTCCCCACTGTGTTGTGTAATGAAGAGTAAAAGCTCCCCACTGTTTTGTGTAGTAAAGTGTAAAAGCTCCCCACTGTTTTGTGTAGTAAAGAGTAAAAGCTCCCCACTGTTTTGTGTAGTAAAGAGTAAAAGCTCCCCACTGTTTTGTGTATTGAAGAGTAAAAGCTCCCCACTGTTTTGTGTAGTAAAGAGTAAAAGTTCCCCACTGTGTTGTGTAATGAAGAGTAAAAGCTCCCCACTGTGTTGTGTAATGAAGAGTAAAAGTTCCCCACTGTTTTGTGTAGTAAAGAGTAAAAGCTCCCCACTGTTTTGTGTAGTAAAGAGTAAAAGCTCCCCACTGTGTTGTGTAGTAAAGAGTAAAAGCTCCCCACTGTTTTGTGTAGTGAAGAGTAAAAGCTCCCCACTGTGTTGTGTAGTAAAGAGTAAAAGCTCCCCACTGTTTGGGTAATGAAGAGTAAAAGCTCCCCACTGTGTTGTGGTATGTAGTCTGTATAATGGATAATAAAATGGCTTGTAAAAGGATATAAGTGTAGTAGGATTGGAATATAAATCACCAGGCTATGATTGATGACTTGTAAGATAATTGTTTCCAATTGGAATATAATCTCTATCAGATCAATATATTCTGTACTGTAACTTGTAAACATCGTGTTTATATTATTACATTATCAATACATTGTTTTACAAACTTTACCCTAGTTTCAAGCCAGTTTGACAACTGTTTAACTTTAAATAAAGGTAATTGATGGAATGAGACCAGAGGTAGTTTGAAAAAACATTTTGACATGAAAAGAGAAAGAAAACCAAAGTCAAATTGATAAGAGAAGAAAACAGAACCACAGCCAGTTTGACAAGACAGACTACAACCTAGTTTGACAAGACAGACTACAACCTAGTTTGACAAGACAGACTACAAGACAGACTACAACCTAGTTCGAGAAGTTTTTATCAACCTGGTCCCCCTTGTTATGATGGGACAATAAACTGAGGCCCCATGTGCTACAAACAAAACAGGCTCGACAGTTGGAAATTGACAGAGGCTGGGCTAATACTGCTGTCCAGCAAAATTTGCCTCATTGCACCCTGCATGACGTTGCCCGTCTTTATTACACTATAAGGTGCAGAAGAGTAGGACGTAAAACTCCATTCGTTTCAATTTATTTTCTATGATTACCATGATTTTAATTAGCCTGCTTGTGGTTGAATAATTTCTGACATTTTGTTGGAAATGTCTCGAGACCATGATCTAAAAATAGCTGTGATAAAAGGCGGGTTTTGAAATGATCGTGAAAGGTTGTTAGAGTAATTCCAGCCAGCCTTATTTACATACTGACTGTATGCACCAACATGCATGACACACCTCCATTCTTTGATGTCTGTTTCTATAGTCCGTCATATATCCCTGGCTTCAGCTTAAAATAGATTGTTTTAAAGAGATTGTAAAGAGATTTTCTACTTTTTTTTATGTGTATCAGAGACACTGATGGCATCAATTTGCACCATTTCAATTTTCAATCAGACATCTTTGGATCCTGCAATTCCACTTAAAATAAAATTTGTTTCATCACATAAGGCCCTTAGTGACTTCATAAAACACTTAGTTTTAGAGGAATTGCAGGAACTACAGACTACAGACATTGAAATGGTGTAAATTGATGTTATCAGTGTCTCTTATATACATAAAATTTTAGAAAACCTCTTTATAATCCCTTTAAAACAATCTATTTATACCATAGTATTGTAGTGTCATTTAAGCTGAATTCCTCTGGTAAAAAGTCATAACTGGAGAGGTAAATAATGGCAAAATATTGCAATTGACTTTTATATACTTTATGGCCCAAAAATTAGGAGGTTTATTTTCTTCAGCTATTTATGAAACATTACATACATAAAATTTGAATTTGTAGTATTGATAAAGTTGATAATGTAACATGTTATAAACAGGTGTAAAACATGTGAGATGAGGCAGGTTTTTTTGGGGTGGTTCTCCATTGACCTAGACACTTTACTCTCAGCTGAGGGATTTTAACTCATATCAATATTAAATATGATATACCAACAGATAAAATGGCAGGTGAATTTCAGGTTTCTAGAGTTTGACATCCTACTGTTCTTTCTTCATTATTACAGTCACCCCAGCTGATAGTGATGCTTGTTACAGATTATCTGAAAAGACCAATGCCTGGCAAGAAGTTTGACGATGGAATGCTGAAGACAGGGAACCGTTCCACAAACAATCTTATGATCAATTTTTGTCGTTAATTTGAAATTTCTCAATGTCACATTCTGCTCTAACGACAAATTGTTATAAGATATTTTGTGGAAGAGGGGCCCAGGGTTTTAAACTTCCAAAGTTATCATTGCCAAGGGGATTGACTAAGGAACACTGGTAGATTAGACTCTCAATATTCTAAATTATCCTTGAAAAGAAAATTGTCCAAAGGATCTTCTGGTAGATAGGCAACCAGAGTACCTTAGTAGTTATCTTTATCAAGAGGTTTGATCAAGAACCAGCTGGTAGACAGGATAATAAGTTGACATCCTACTCCTGTTTGTTTAAATAGTTTAAATTCACTAACAAAATTTCTGTTTTTGAATAAAAATGGTTTCAAAGTAACTTGATAAATCAATAATTTCTCTGAAAAAAAAAAGAAAATTGATATGAAATTTAGAAGTAGTTTGACATTTTAAGATTATTTATATAGAGATAGATTTACGTACAAACTGTATATTGGTTGTATTAGAATGATTATATTATAAAGTTTTGACTCTATTCTGTTTATTGGGTGTGTTTTGGGTATTTTTTAAATTTTAACTAATGTTATGATATTGAACGTTGTTAGAAACATGCTGTTTAACTTATTGGAGGTTTTTCTCCAGTTTTCGCAATCTCTTGGGTACAAGGTTTTAAAGAGTTTTTCTGTTCTGCACCATAATGACTTAAGAGGGAATGACTTCCATGAAATGAATGGAGTTTTACATCCTACTGTTTTGTTTCTATTATGATAATGATGATAGGCAAAGCCATGCAGTGTGCAATGAGGGAAATTTTGCTAGGACAGTGGCATTAGCCTAATCTTTTTGGATTTCTGACTGTCATGGGAAGTTTAATGTGCAGAGCCTGTAGCACACAGGACTTCGCTTTGTTATCTGATCTATACGACTAGATGCTTTTTCCATGTCAGTGATGAAGGTAAGAACGGCTAATGCCTAACTCATCTGAAACATTTTCTCTTTCTTCCGAAGCTGGTGATCTAAGTAGTGGTAGGTGTCGCATGTGTAGCAAACCATGCTTACTCATTTCGAAACACCTGATGATACTTCTTGTTGGAGGAGTCCACTACTATACAACTTTTACTCTCAATTTAGCCATTCTTTGGACGTGATTTTTGATTGACAAAATTGTTTTGGTTGATTTTTATCTTATGCCAGACAAGTCCAAGTAAAAAATGTTTTGTATGAGATTTTTTGATTGACAGAATTGTTTTTATCTTACGCCAGACAGGTCCAAGTTAAAAATATAAAACCTGACAATACGTCTGCTAGATTCGTTCCACCCATTGTTCTAAAACTTCCTGCCAACATGTGCTTTACATTTCCATAGCAACCTGTCCTCACTGATTTGAATGGATGTATTTCTGTGGAAACCACACTTATTTGTCTTTTAAACATTTCTTTTCAACCTTTAACCTCTAGCCCTTTGACCTCTTTTGCTCTTTGACCTCTTCTCTCCTTTGATCTTGTATATCTGAGGATGAGGTTTGTATATAAAAGGGGTTGACAGTTTATGGCTTCTATTTACACCATTCCAATTATCTGTCAGATGTCCGTGGTTCCTGTAATTATAGAAATACTTAAAGTGATACTACGTCTTAGAATTAACATAAAATTTAAGAATTTTAAACTTGGCCAATAAGAGCCAGTAGATATACCTGGTGTCATAAATAACATAACAGGATCCTTATATAATCTGATAAATCGAAAAAACTCAGTAATTATCCATAAATATGCAATTAACTATTGAAAAACGCTTAATGTGGAATTTTATGTTCTGTGTTTCTACAGTGGTGTTTCTACAGGGGGTCATAATCCCCCATCCCCACTCTCACTTTCAAATTTCTTTCCATTGACATAGGAAAAGTATGTTTCATCAATCCCTGTACAATTCTGTGGCTGTTAATTAACCCACTTCTCTAATTATTTCTATAAACACCTCGGGAGAAGCACAACATCCATCACAGTACAGTATATATTGCAATTTTTATTTTAAATTGTATATACCAAAATAAATATTAGTCAGATACGAAATTCAAAGTGGTGGCCAGCCTCCAGCGACCAATTCTACAACATTTGGTTTCACTTAATCTGTATTTGAGGACAAAATTCGTCATTAAATTATGAGTGGAAACTTATTCCAGATTGAGGTTCATTGAAAATAGTTTGGTTAGTTTGAGTGCGTTTCCTGACTGAACCCCTCCCTCTCTCCCTGTTTCTCACAAACCAAACCACTCTGTTTAATCATTGTGTAGTATCTAGATATTATTAACAATATAACATATTCTACAACTGTTACAACAGCTTCACTGCTGCTGGAAAATTATTTTTTACTCTAACCCACATGCAAGAAATATAGTCAAGGTTTATTTTCTGAAAGTTTTTGGTTTAATATCGGAGTAAAATTGTTGGGGTATATCTGAGTGAGGCGTCTACTTTAAAATTACAGTAATTCTCTGGCTGGAAAAATATTTGAAAAAACTGAAAGTGAGAAAGTGAACAGGAATTTTATTATTAAACTTTCATTATGATGCAGGTAAGTGAAATAATTCTTTCAATTTCTTTAAAATTTTAATAGGAAAAAAGATTTCACGTTGACAAATGACACCAGTTTTGGTGGTTTTTATTTCATATCATTGTATTGTCCCATGGACTAAATGTTAGACAGGATCATGTCACCTTGGTGTATTGGACCTAATTCTGACCCATGTAAAATAAAGAGTCTATGTTTGTCACCATGGACTGAATGTTAGACAGGATCATGTCACCTTGGTGTATTGGACCTAATTCTGACCCATGTAAAATAAAGAGTCTATGTTTGTTCCCATGGACTGAATGTTAGACAGGACCATGTCACCTTGGTGTATTGGACCTAATTCTGACCTATATAAAATAAAGAGGCTATGTTTGTCACCATGGGTTGAATGTTAGACAGGATCATGTCACCTTGGTGTATTGGACCTAATTCTGACCTATATAAAATAAAGAGTCTATATTTGTTCCCATGGGTTGAATGTTAGACAGGACCATGTCACCTTGGTGTATTGGACCTAATTCTGACCTATATAAAATAAAGAGTCTATGTTTGTTCCCATGGGTTGAATGTTAGACAGGACCATGTCACCTTGGTGTATTGGTCCTAATTCTGACCTATGTAAAATAAAGAGTCTATGTTTGTCACCATGGGTTGAATGTTAGACAGGACCATGTCACCTTGGTGTATTGGACCTAACTCTGACCCATGTAAAATAAAGAGTCTATGTTTGTCCCCATGGGTTGAATGTTAGACAGGACCATGTCACCTTGGTGTATTGGACCTAATTCTGACCCATGTAAAATAAAGAGTCTATGTTTGTTCCAATGGGTTAAATGTTAGACAGGACCATGTCACCTTGGTGTATTGAACCTAACTCTGACCCATGTAAAATAAAGAGTCTATGTTTGTTCCCATGGGTTGAATGTTAGACAGGACCATGTCACCTTGGTGTATTGGACCTAATTCTGACCCATGTAAAATAAAGAGTCTATGTTTGTCTCCATGGACTGAATGTTAGACAGGACCATGTCACCTTGGTGTATTGGACCTAATTCTGACCCATGTAAAATAAAGAGTCTATGTTTGTTCCCATGGACTGAATGTTAGACAGGACCATGTCACCATGGTGTATTGGACCTAATTCTGACCCATGTAAAATAAAGAGTCTATGTTTGTCACCATGGGTTGAATGTTAGACAGGACCATGTCATCTTGGTGTATTGGACCTAATTCTGACCTATGTAAAATAAAAAGGCTATGTTTGTCTCCATGGGTTAAATGTTAGACAGGACAATGTCACCTTGGTGTATTGGACCTAATTCTGACCCATGTAAAATAAAGAGTTTATGTTTGTCCCAATGTGTTGAATGTTAGACAGGACCATGTCACCTTGGTGTATTGGACCTAATTCTGACCCTTGTAAAATAGTCTATGTTTGTTCCCATGGGTTGAATGTTAGACAGGACTATGTCACCTTGGTGTATTGGACCTAACGCTGACCCATGTAAAATAAAGAGTCTATGTTTGTTCCCATGGACTGAATGTTAGACAGGACCATGTCACCTTGGTGTATTGGACCTAATTCT